GCAGCTTACAATACCTCGGCTCGTGTCTCTTTATCCTTCTCGTAATGTTGCTTTCTCATCCTGCTCTTACGATACCGTGGATCATGAGGAAACTGAAGTGAGACCCGGATTAAATATTAACACAACCTGACACAGTCCCCACCGGAGCTCCTATTCCACTTCACATGATACAATTAAAAACATTCCCACATGCATTGAGCAGGAACACTTGTCAAGAACATGCCGCTTTACTAGACTTAAAATAAATCTCATACTAATCTATGGAGAACCCCCGACAAGGAGGAGGCCAAGGTTTCAACGACGCAGGCAGGCACTTAGCTGAGTAGAGAGTTGGAAAAAAAGCAGAGGGAGAGAGATGAGGGCCTTACATTATTTATACCTGCTAATGGTGGCTGTCTGTGTGTGTGAATCAGCAACAGAACAATCTGCTAAAATAGACACACAGCTGTAATCAAGGCCATACATTTCCTCTCCTTCTCCTTTTTCTTGGCTAACTGCGGGGTCAATTGGAGTCGGTTTAGCAGTGTTTGAAACTCCTGCAGTAGATTATCTCCTTTTAATGGAGACGAAAGACAATGCAGGAGTAGATTGCGATTGCCCAAGGAAAAGATTACCTCTGCAGAGCTATCCCGGCTAAATACCGCATGTGTGTGAGAGGAATACCTCACACATAAGATATCGCCGTAAATCTAACACAGATAAGAACAATAGCTCGTGTGCTTAACCTAGTTTTGTCCACAAAAGGAATCCATTAGTCTTATTGTGCAGCCCTCAAGCTCAGCATCACAGGGGGGAACCCGGCGCTACATCCACGCACATGTGCCTCTCATTTCCTATGGCGGTCCAGAAGTATCCTTCAACATCCTATTGTAAAGTTTACCAGGGGAGAGGTTCAGTGTATTAAAGTGCCCTGAGAGAAACGCTAAATGATGTAAATGCAGGCAGCTGCTTGTTGCTTAATGCTGTACAGTAGAGCGAGAGGCCCTGGCGAAGGCTGGATGTGTGTGTACAGTATCTATATAACATTATGGGCTCTCTTTCATGTCCTCCTGCTCTCTAATGGGAACAATATGAACACTAATGGTATAGTAAAAGTGTAGAAACAGCGCTTCAGACCGAACTGAGACACATTCTGTTTCTTTTGTTGTTTTAGACACAGAAATACACTTTCTATGTGAAAACAGATCAAGCTGTGTGGTTTGATTTATTAATACTGATTAGTTTTGATATTTAATAGTCAGGTGGTAACAGATGACTTGTAGTAATGGGGTGTAACATAGGTAGTGCCTCCATACCTTTTTTTTTTCCAAGAACTTTCAAAGTCTCTGACTGTAGTACCTCTCTATCTTCATCATCATTAGTCATATTAATACAGTATAGTTTGTTTATTTTCAACTATATTGACCACAAAGTGTTATCTAAACATATTTTATCACATAACATATCGAGATTGAAATGTCAACAGTTCAACCACTTACAGTGATTTAAAGCTACTGTGAGCCGTTTTAGCTGGTTGCAAAGAAAGACAGAATTGAACAGGACTGCCTCTTTATTTTCTGCAAAAGAAAAAAAAAATCATCAATAAGATGGACTTTTTCATACTGTAATGCCAACAACCACCACTGTGAGGGGGTAGGTGTCAGCACAGCAAGCGAGATGAGATTTTGTTGTAAGAAAAAACTTCTTGCGCATAAACTGAACATAGTTAGGCAAAAAATTTAGAGGTATCACTTCATCCACAGGGGTCACAAAAATTGACACAAGAGTCCATACAGAAGCTTTAAGTCAATAGTTTTCTGTTTTTTCTGTAACTATAAGCTGTTTTTACAATTTACCAAACTTTTCTAAAAATATCCATGACTGAAATCTCAGTAAAGACCTCTTTTATTAAGCTGTTACATTGCAGGGAAATTGTCAACGCCATTTCAGCTTTAACCAAATAGGCAATCTATTTTAATCATTACACTGTTACTTAAAGCTAACTTTTGCACCTTTTTATACGCAGCTTTAACTACAGCTAGTGGCTAACTATTTACCTTTTTGCTAGCTTTTTAAACCTTTTTCAATAAAAAGTTAGGCTTATGCAAGTATTAAGTTCTCTGGCCATTTTTAAAAGGTATGTTGTCACTTTAAGCTAAAGTTTTTAACCTCAGCCTCGGATTATCAAGTCATTAATCAACAACCAGTAGCCAGCCATTTTAAGTCTAAATCCATTCAATCAAGCTAACTCAAGTTTATCATGTGGCTTTTATCCATTGGGATTCCCTTAACCATATGGTTTGTTTCGCTTATCATGAATTCATCGTGAACTTTAAGCCAACTATTTAAACTCTTTAAACCTTATTTTGTAGCCAGATAGCCCACTAACTACTACTACTGCTAATGGGCTTACTGCTACTACTACTACCAGCTAACCACTTAAATTATTTAAAATTTCCCTCTGCTAACTTTTAACCATGACTTCATTGCTCCATTGCTTCAAGCTGACCAATTTTACCAGTAAACTTTAACTTTCAGACCACTGACAGTTACAGCAATAGCCCTTAACTCCTAGTTTACCAATCTGTTACTCTGAGCAACCTTAACAACACTGTCAGACCTGAATCTGAATATTTAAACTGTGTATCGAGTAACATATCCATGGGCTATTAACATTAGACTTCATTACTTGTCAAACTCCATAATGACCATTAATCTAACTAAACTTCATGTTATTTCTTACTTTTGTCTTGGAGGACAGTGAGAGAAACCTTTGTCAGCCTTTGAATCCACCACTTTAGGCCAGCTGTCTGGACCTGATAACCAGTATTTAGTATTTTGGTTCCCTCACCTGCAACACAATCTGAGTTCTGTGTGTTAGAGCTGACTCGCATAGTTGATGCACATTTTTTAAATTGTAATTTCTGTTGTTTTTAATTGTGGAGCCACTCCACTATCTTTCCACACACCCTCTGGTTACTGCAGATTTACCCCTGAGGTACAAGCTGTGGTTGTGAATCGCTGCTGTGGGCTGTTTCTGCTGTACTATTACCCTTTTTTCATGAGCAGAGAGGTCATTTTTTTCTTAGATTTGTTCCTTCATTCAGCATAAATGAACATGATGAACTCTTTAGAAAACTCTTTAAATTACTATAAAGATAAACCGTCCAACAAAGCAGTATTAGGAGAAAAAAACAGCGACCCAGTCTCTGATCATCATCTGATAGTGTGCTGACACGCAAACTCCATTAAGCTGTCTTCAAATATGCAAAAATGATATGATTTTACAATGATTACATATTCACTTCCCCAGCTGGCTGGCTCCAAGCGTCTCCATTTGTCATCGACTATTGTGTCCAATTATATGATTAGCTTTGAACACTCCAGCACTTCGAGAGCTCTCGTGTGTTCTGCCGCGCAGAGTGATTCACAAACAAAGTCATTACAACATGTATTCACACATATCAAATAACAAAACAGATGGCCACTGCGCTTGCCGCCTGATTTGTTTTCCACACGAGTGGTAGGAGAAAAAAAAAAAAGTATTTTGTGTGAGCTGTGTTTAATGCTGACTGTTTTTATTCCCAAAGAAGAGCAGCTGGCTGTCGCGCTGTTAGATCAGCTCCTATGAAAGACAATCTTGTTTTCATTAATTTCTCTACAACAAAGGCACTTGTTGGGAAGATTTAGAATTACAGCGGGTAAAGCTTCCGGATAATTCATCACAGGGACTTGACAGGAAACTTAATTGTTTTAAATGCCAGTTGCTGTGAGCAGCGTGCCTGGTTTTTCTTTGATGTCTAACAGGTGGGACAGATAGACGACCCTCTGATGTTTCATTCGACCTTTGACCTCTTGGTTATAAATCCCCTTGTAGTCTGCCGTCCAATAAACCTATCAACATGTGATGAACTGCAGTTCCCAGAATTCCATGTGAGATGGAAATCTTGTAGTCTGCCTCCTCCTATCAAACAAAGTGTAAATCTAACCGACTAGATCCCACAGTTGGTTTCATTCTTGTCCTATAAAAACCATATTAGCCATTCAACAACATATGGACTCAAGTCCTCTTCGACCATGGTTTTACCCTCCATGTAAAAAAGAAAAAAACAAAAACAAAGACTGCATCATTATATTGATCTTAGATAATGACAATGCTTTGGGGATTTAAGTATATTGTACATGTCTGAGGTCAATAGCATACTGAACATACAATATTGTTGTTTTTTTACATCTTCCAAGCAAAGATGTGCAAAACGCTGTACATTTTCATCTTGAATCTTGGGATTCGTTTTGTCATTGCTCATGCACGCATAGGATGACTGGCATAGATCAATGTAACACTATTTCCAAAAAGTTCGACACAAAATGAAAACTTTCCACAGTAACTTTGAGACCCAAATGCTTCCCAAAATGAAAAATTATCAAGCAGGTATCCTTTAACACGAGTGAAGTGATTAATGCTTTGTCATCCTGGTAGAACATATTAGATTTTCTCAAAGAGAGTAAACAGAAGAAACTATTTTCACTGATGTTACACATCTTCAGGATGATTTGGGGGAGAAAAAAAAAGTTTCTCCTAAAAAAACCTCTGATTAGGTGCCCTTCAGTATGAAACAAGACTTGGCGCAAGTGTGCGTCCACTTCTTTGTAGCCAAATCTGCTCCAATTAAAAATCTTTTGAAAAATGTCAGCCGATCACTTGAAACTAAGAATAAGGCCCCAATATAAACCTGTTAAGGATAGCATGTTTTGGACAGTGAATACTAATGATTACCGACAAAAAGGAGACAGTGGTTTAACTTGTTCGAAGGAGACTGGACCAAGATACTCACTCGCCTGTTAATCCTGGATAACTGTAAGTTTTTGCAAAATCTAGCAGTCAGATACAACACTGAAAAACTCTCATGCTCACCCCACTTGTTGGTTAAGTGATGGTGGCCTTTCAGGACAAGAAGCTCCTGTGATGTATGAAAAGTATGATCCCTGCTTTCAAGTTTTTCCCATAAAAAAAACATTGATATTGGACACAAAACTCACTCTCTTTATTTGGCTTCCAAGCGGTGCAATTTGTGCTGCCACTTACAGAATTCACACAAGCAGTATTTGTCCATGTTATACTTCAGTCGAAATATGGGGATGCAAAATGGCAACCTCTTTAGAAGGGGACCTGCACCTAAATATGAAAGGCCCATTTTACATTAAGGAAACAAAACTACTTTTTATTTAGGTTTTATTATTTATTACTTATTTCTACTATTTGCTCTGCTAAATGCTGCTAAATACTTCGCACTGCACCTTTAAATACAGAGCTTAAATCTTCATCTAAAGACCTTGTATACTCTGTTCTGTGTGTATCTGTTGGTGCGGTCTTTAGTCTTCATTTTTCTGTGGTGCTGTGGTGCAAAAAAAATTCCAGACTTTATCCGACAACATCAATTAAACAGTGTCCTCAAAGAGTTGCGCACTTTAACCCAGTTTTTGAAAGTTGTTTGTGAGACATCATAACCTTTTCAAATATTTCTTTTGAACATGTGGTTACACCCCTGAGCACTTTGACTGTTTAATTGTATGAGACAGTACATAGTTACTCAGCAACACTGACTCACTTCCTAACTTAGTGTTGACTGTGTTAATGCGACAGACACACCAACTTGATCATTTTACAGAAACACCGATTAACTCTTTGCTCAGATATATAGAAGGGGTAGAAATATCAGACATTTTGTAACATCAACTCATTTTCTGTTGGATGGAAGATAAACTGATTGCAGTATTTTGCATTGCAGAGCTTGAGAAGAGACGTAAGAGCATTCCTGTGCAGAAAAGATTCTCTCTTGCTTTAAATCTAGTAAAAAGCCTTACTGACATCTCATGAGGATGTTACTGTAAATGCACTTTAAGTGACTGAATCATTTAACATCCAATCAATACGATTCACATTGCTCCACAAACACACTCCAGTTGGATTCATGTTCAGGAAGCTGTTACGACTGTAGTTAACAAGTTCTCTCCGTGACAACAAAAGCTAAATATTTCACAGAGTAGAACCTGAAACACAAGCTTCGATAAACCAACATGAAATGAACTCAAAAGCTAAAACAGGAAGGTATAAAGAACTGTGAAGCAGACAGTCAAAACTCTTCCACTTGAAGAGCAAAGGCAGCAATGTTCAGTCCTGCTGTGGCAGTTAGATAGGATCTAGCTGTGCCATGCTGCCATCACCTGGTCAGCATTTGTACAGCAACATACAGGCAGCTGAACTAAATTAGAAGTTTCACAGAATAGATTCATTTGACTCATATTTTATGGTAATTCATCGGTACATTATTTTGCCATTTCCCTTTTAGAGATTCTACTAAAATAAACTACCCAAAAAGAAAAGTAATGAGTTTTATCCTATTTTATTTTATGATTGTGTTATGTGTGAATCCCCTTTTGACAAAGCATGTCTTCCTCAGTCATCTGTGGCAAGTTGAAGAGTCCTCACCTGGTCTTCTGTGTATGCATCTGTGTGTGTGAGTGTGAATGCTGTATGTGTTGAATGGGGGTTGGGAGGGTGGACAGGGTTTGGTATTTGTGTTTTTATTTATTTATTTTATTTCATTGTTTTTAATATCCTGCTTGAATGGACAGCATTTTGTGCTACGTTATATGAATGAAAAGTGCTTTAAAAATAAAGTTTGATTGATTGATGTGCCCAAAAAAAGGAACTATCATTTATCAACAAATTTTGGGGGTTTTTTTAGAAGTAAACTGGCAAACTAAGTAGCCTTAGCCCCTTGTAGGCCATCAGGCATGATGGTAAACTCAACTGTTCGTCATAATTTCACAAATCTCATATTGATAAGCAGATGTTGAATATCTGCTTATTTCTTAGAAATTCATAGAAAATCGTCAAGTTTAAGCTAGGAATTAGTTCACAGCTAGCTTTAGTGTTTGGTAGGACTTCAGTACGATTCTAAGAACTTGTACTTGGCCAACAGATTAGCTAAGAAATTTCTGAATGTTATGGATCAGTTTTTGATTATTTTTGAGTCATGGTGACCACTTCTCTAAGTAGCTTTAGAAACCATATCTTTATTGTTGTTGGCTACATAGTCTAAATTCTATCTGTTTGGTTAGTAGTCAGCTAAGCCTATTAGACCAGTAGCTTCCCCTTTACTGCATGTGCTGTGGTGGTAGGAAGATGTCTTGTCTCGAATGAAGTAGCACCAGTCAAATGGTTTATCTGCACCTCATTTGCATGACACCTCTCAGCCTTGATGGTTATATTTATGCCTTGTTGCAGTGCTGAGGTTCTGCAGAGGCAATGTTTTTGCGCTGTGAAAAAACCCACCGTGCTTCCTGTAGGTTTCCCCCCTGTGGAGAGTTGTCAGTTGTTAAAGTTGTTGGTTGATGTGACTGATAGGAGTTTCTACATAATTACAAAGCAAACACTACGTTACTGTGGGCTATGTTTTTAATGATTATGAGCTTTATTTTCGCCTGCATGTGTTACACCTGAGCCACAGTTATTCCTGCTCTGTCTGCCAGAGCAAAGATGCACAGAAAACATCTCAAGTCTCCTGGGTGAGTCAATCAGCTCTGAACACAGATGTTTTTGCCACAACAGCAGCAATCCCATACTGTGAGTGTAAATTACACCTTGGAAATTAATTGCAAGTTTTGATCCTTTTGATAATAAGCCCGGTGCACAGTGATGCGTTCAGTGTTACAAAGCGTGAGCCGTGTGAAAGCATGAAAGTTTGATAGCTGATTCATATCATCGCACTGGTCAGGTTACTCATTGATCGGACGCTGCCTGTGTTCGTGTGCCTGCTCTTCCGTCTCACGCTTCGGAGATAGTTCCTGTAGAGAATCACACTAATCACCCTGTCCTGGAACTGTTTGGAGACGATGTAGTACAGGATGATGTCCAACACCGTGCTCATGTTCATCAGGTATGTGGTGAAGACTGCCCATGGGCTAAAGCCGCCATCTTTGCCATCCCCAAGCAAACGCAGGACTAGACACACATGAAACGGCACAAAGCACACCAAAACTTGGATTATCAGCGTGACGATGATCCGAATAGACTTCTGCTTCACTTTTGGTTTGAGTTTAGAGGTTCTGCCGTGGATGAGGTTATCCACAATGACTATGTAGCAGCCAATCATAATACAAATGGGAACCAGGAAGAAGAAGATCAGTCGCACAAAGTTGACCACGTTGTCTCGCCGCATGTAGATGATGTCTTGCATTTTAACGCAGGTGGTGAAGTTGGAGACACGATCGGGGTCTTCATCTAAGAAAATCAGGGACACAGTGCTGCCGAGAGTCATGAGCCACACTCCCAAACACCCCACCACGGCTTTGGGGACATTTCTCAGCTCTTTGTTGTGCCTCGGCTGGACAATGGCCATGTAGCGGTCGGCGCTGATGAGAGCAAACAGCCACAGAGCTATGCAGGGGTAGAAGATGGTGAGAGCGGAGATGATCCTGCAGAACATATCTCCGAAGGGCCAGTAGTTATGGTGGTGGTACACCATCCTGAAGGGAAGCAGCAGGATGAAGGTCAGGTCCACCATTGCCACGTTTATCATGTACACAGTGACGGAGTTCCTCTTTTTGGTGGTGAGGGCAAACACCCATAAAGCAGTGATATTGACAATGACTCCAATGATGAAGAGGATGGAGAAGAAGACAAGGCCAGCTATGCGGTACTCCACCGGCCCCTGTTCTGGTTTCACAGCAACAAAATCCTCAGACATGTTGGAGTAGTTTGTTTCCAGATTCATCCTGAAACTTACAGAAATCAGCAGAAAGTTGGTGTTAATGTCATCATTACTGCATATTAATTACTGTATATATCATATTTTATATTGATCAAAAATATTTAGAGACATGGTTACATGAACAACAACTCTTCATTATGATTTCACGCTCCTGTCAGGGTTTTTTTCAAATATTTTTATAATTCACTGAATTTCTAGCTTAGTAACTAAAGAAACACTCCTTTTTACAATTTCCTTATAACACTGACTCTGCTTAATCATGAGGAAAGATCAAGACTACTCTGTCCACAGGGGTCACCACAAACCAGAAGTTCGTTACAGGAACTTTAAATAATTCTGATTGGAGATAATTACATAAGTGTGACATATGATTAATTGTGGTCTGGTCTTTACTTGCACCCACTATTTTAATCAGAACTGATGAGTTATACACACAGAGATGTTATTCCCCTCTCCTCTTCTGGTTCATGCTATAGACACATTAGATCATTTTCCTGCCCCAATGATGTATATCTACCATCTTTTTAACAAAATACTTGCTGTTATGTCGCTGCTCTTAGTCAAGCAACAGCTTTTTATAGACCAAGCCTTACTCCCACTGGTTACAAAGAGGAGGAGCAGACTGTTTCCTCCACCCTCACACTGCTTGTAATGGGCTTTTTTGAAAAAGTCCATACTTTCCCACTGTCAAAGCTTTCTGTGATTGATTCAACTAAAAACGGACTCTATCATCATCCAGTTTGACTTTAAAGATACGGTACTCTGTAAGTGCAAAGACTCATATGTCACTGTACATGAAAAGGCTTTAACTGCCCCTGTGCAATTGCTAAAATTTTATTTGGTTTAGGCTAGTTTCTTACAATTAAAGGGTTAAGAAGCATTTTAGTTAAGTTTGGCCTTTTAAAACATTACCAATCTGAATATTATGTCCCATGTGAACACAGCTACCGTTGATATCAGGGCTGCCCAGGGGCTTATTCCACGAAGCAAGTTCGACCTAGCGAGGTAGCCTTGGAGCTACCACGCTCAACTTAGTGCGGTAGCCAGCGGTCTCACTAAACGTTCTTACGACGCTGGTTATCAACCTCGTAAGTGGATCCAGCTTTGCTATGCCCTGGAGTAGGTTAGCCGTTCAGCGTACGTTGCCATGGAGACTTGCCTCGCTAATAAGTTAACCTGCATCGTAGAACAGGAAACTTACCCTCGAAATTACCTCGCTAAGCAGTAATCCTGCTTTGTAAAATAGGCCCCAGATCTTGCCACTATACTTAACATAATCAGTGCTTTTTGTTTTACTGTCATTATTGTTGGTAATGTTAAACCTACTAATTAGTGGATTATCATTCTTTGCCATTCCTACTTTTACCACACTTACTGTTTCTGCCCATTTAGTCATGTATCTGTTCGATCAGTTTGCTGCTTTAGCTGCTGTTTCTCAGTTTGTTTTTGTCCATCTCTTTCCAAAAACCCAACACAGTCGCAGCAGGTGACTGATCAACACCAGTTTGGATCTGCTTGCGTTTTCTGCCTGTTTGAAGCAAGTTTTTTCCTTGCTACTCTTTTGCTAAATATTGCAAAGTGCTTTACTCATAGTGAATTGTTATCTTTGTAAACAACATGACAGAGTTATATGGTTATTTTGATGAGTGCCTTTAGAGAGCTCTGCTATACTTTTTTACATTATAGCCCATTTGTTTTTACGCTGACTTTTCAAGTGAAGTTTATCATTGAAAATTCTGTGCCTACAGTATGGTCTCATTATGGATAGGGATATATTTTGTACACACACCAACCAGGCATGCCATTGTGAGGCCTATGGTCTCTCACAGTTGAAGTGCTGAGCTAAACTGACACCTTGGTTAACATCTTTGGCATTATTCCTCCAACAGGGCTACCTCTCATAGATTAAATGCATTTCATTCTCAAGAGTCAAAAAATATACTGACCAGCAACATAATGAACACCAAAAATGATGTTAACCTGGATGCCAGTTTGGCTCAGCAGTTCATTTGTAAACCCTACAAAGAGGCTATTGCTCTCAAAGTGGATGGCCGAGGTAGGACTCCAACCCACAGCGTATTTCTCTCTCACTCTCCATTTCCCTCTCTATCCAACAATAAAATTTATTGGAAATGAGAGTTTCTGTTTCAGTGTTTATTTTTATGACTCCTTTCCCGTAAAGTCCAACATCTTTCAGTTTAGACTGATAGCCACAGCAAAGGCCTATCTCCCCCCTAAAGATTTAGAGAGGGTAATACATGTCACTACAACATCTCATCTTGATTATTGTTATTCTTTGTAAATGGACTTGACCAGTTGACAGCGGTGACAGCAAAAATGCTGCAGCTGCTCAGTTTATGACTGGAAAGAAAAAGAGAGCCCACATCACACTCATGCTGGTTTCTCCCCTCTGGTCTCAGGTCTGTCAGAAGGTTTGTTTTGTTGTTGTGTACCCATGAGACTCTAAATGGAGTCTTTTAGCCAAATCTTACCATGCTGATACCCCAGCGGGAGCACCAGTCATTTTTTAAAATCATTGCTGAAGACCAATTTCTTCTCTTTGGCTTCCCCGTCAAGACGAGGAGAAGTCCCTCAAGGTTTGACTATTTTTCGAATATGATTGTAACCCATTGTGTATTGTTTTCTTGTTGTGTCTTTTTACTTCGTAAGGTAGTTTAGTTTGATTGTTGGAAATGTGCTGTGAAAGTTAACTTGGCGTAAAATAAGGAGTCCACTGATTTTAAATCAACTGGAATTGAATTTTTTACCTTTTCTGATTAAAAAGACCAGATAAAACAGTAGTCTCACAAAGTTATTGATAGATTATCCACATTATAACATAAAAAAACATGGCAAAACTGCATTTTAGAAAAAAAGTTCAATTGGCTGTAAATATACAGTAATATACTGACTGCAAGATACATCACGTTCATAGTAATTTCCCAGAATGTTACAATCAACATTTTCCAGTGCATTACAAATTAACTACATTATTTCAAAGTTGCCATGTTCATGGAATTACTGCGATAAAGTAGCATTTAGCTGTAACAGTACCTTGCTGTACATAAATTTAATAATTACAGTAATTTTTACATTCAACTGTCATAGCAATGCAAATCAATAGCCAGTAATTTACTATATTTACCATTTAAACAATCCTATGAAATAATGTGAGTTTTCTTTCTGAAAAAGCACAGTTTAAAGTTTAGTCTCTGAGAAGCAGAAAAATAACGCTGAAGTTGAATCAGTCAGAAGCTGTGTCTTAATGCGAACATGCGGCTGGTAACTGATTTGCAATTTGCAGAACCTGCTGCTTGTTAATTTTAATAGATATTTTTAAAACCTGTGCAGCTGCGCTAGACAGTGAAAGCGACAGACCATCTCTGTCTATATGTGACAAACTATAAGTAAATATTGCATAAACAGGAAGTTAAATTAAAAAGTTACATGTACAGACGATGTAGAAGAAGAGAAGGTATGTATGAAATCTGCTGTGAAAGTAAATAATGTGGAAGTGACACTTTTCACCTTAAGAAGTTGATGCTGTGTTTTGATGTGAAATCACATGACTTCCTTGTTTCACTCTTGGGGATTTAGCTACTGTACTTTACTAAACTATACTTATCAATGACTTAAAATACAAATTAACTATGTATAAGATTTCGAAAACACTAATTCGTGTGATTATTGTGGAGAAAAAACAGTCAAAAGACATTTCAGACAAACTTTTTCATCAAACAGATCTACAATTTCCCTTTAGCATGGCGGCCTAAAACACTCCCCCCCCTTACTTGTTTAAGGTCAAACTTATCAGGTAGTTTTATCCGAACAATAAAAGACTGAACTTACCACAAAAATCACACAAACATCTCGATATGCATCTCACCACCAGCTCTATGAAGCAACTGCGATTAATCTGAACACACAGACAAAATAGGGAAGTGAGGGCTTTCTCAAAGGGTAATGTGATGGAAACGGTGGCGAGTCTGAGCACTGTGTTAAGCCCCCCCGGCACTTCCTGTGTCGACTCTCTGTGATGCACTTACAGATTCCTTTACAGTATCTACGTAGTTGGAACACAAAGAGGCTACAGCTTTCCACTGTCTGCAATTACACCCCCTTAAAGAAAATGATGTGCCATTAGAAGTGGGAGTGTGTTTGGCAGGCAGAGAGATGGCAGATTTAGGGCGAGTTATTGATTGGAAAAGTGGGGTCTGTCACAGCACATTAGTTCTCAGGGGAGTAATCCACAGCAGGTTGCAGTGAGAAGCATCTGCTGCTGGAGAGAAGTAATTAAAAACAGGATGTTGAGGCAGTTGCCATATAAACAGGAAATAAGACGGTGGGTAATAGACACTTCACGCTGATGCTGTGAGATGGTTTTACACCACGTCCACTTAATGGATGCAGAGCGCATAGCTCAGGTGAAGAGCTCAAGGTCAGTGTGGACCTGCATTGAATACAGATTAATGTGTGTGATTAATGTGCGTGTGAGCCGCTAACAACTATGAATTAGGACGTTTGGCTCAAAGAACATTGTGCAATGAAAACTTCTTCCCCTGATCTCATAACTGCTACTTCCTGTTCTTATTATAGATTTTATGAAGCGCACAGTAAATCACACTTTCCCACGACTTCCACTTTTCCCCATCTCAGAGCTGACTAGTGTTTAACTCTGCGCTTTTTCAGCGTGCCTCTTTAACAATGTTAGCATGAGACATTCTCAGACAGTCTGATTCTTATATCTGGGAAATAATTACCTATCGGCTCGTCTTCTCGATGTGTCTTAAAATCTCAGACCAGATGGTACTTGTGTTCATTGCAATATGTTGTTATGACAACAGTCTGTGTGATGTTTTCCTCTTTGATTCTCGTCATGTGCCGCTGCAAGTCTCCCACTGCTTCATAAATCTTGGGCCTTTATTGTTCACCCGTTTAGAATAAGAGCACTCAGACTTACAGGCATCTTTCAAGCCAAAATTACACTCCTTCTTTTAGCACTTCTCTTAAACCTTTTTATACCATAATCTGATCTTCCTGCTCAGTAAGATCTAATATTACATCAGAAAATACAAACAACTAAACTCAACGTATATGTGAAAGCCAAATGTATTCAAACACTGATAAGAGTCGGCCTAACTTCCTACACCAGAATCTCTTTGTTCTGTTTTATACTGCCCTCTTGTGGCTAAAGTACTCACTAAATCAGAGTGTGACTGAAGGAAAATCAATTTTATTTATATAGCACCTTTAATACATAAAAGCATGCAGCTTACTGGAAGACTGAAAATAAAAATGGTAATAAAATCAATGCTGTAAAATCAATGGAATATGTAAGGGTAGGAAACACAGTTTACCATTAAAAATCAAATGAAAGTTAAAAATGATCAGATAAAAAGAAGACAGAAATCATGTCCTTAAAACAGTATAATAATAATAATAATGATAATAATAATAATAATAATAATTCAACACTGTCATGCCTCATCTGCACTGTAAACCAAATGTGTAATAGTAATAAGTTCATAAGTCCATAAATTTCACATTTAAGGATTTAATAATCAAACCGCCCTCAGGATGAGAGGTTTCTTAGTGACAGAGGCTGAAGAGGGGAGAAGGGGATGATGTGTGGCGTAGAGCACTTCTCTGTGTACCTGCATGTCTTGTAGTGTGTGTATGTGGAGCTCCCGCTGTGTGTTGACAAGCCGTGCCTCTCACACTCCCCATGTGTACTCACACACTGGGACACCAATATTACACTGTTTCAGAGTGCAATGTGCAACAAAGACAAGATGATGGTGGTACTCTTGTTTCAGCAGAAATACACTGAAAGGCTGAAAAGCCTCACAGGCAGACGTTAAAAAACAAGGGGGTGAATAACCGAGCAAGTAAAAGGAAGTTGCATCTAAATGTAAATACTCTCAATGACTTTAATGATCAAATAGCCCACTAGTTAAGAAAAGGACCTATGAAAGAAGTGTTCATTGATGATGTAGAAAAGGGCCGAGTTATCTGAAGTCGTCTAGCAGGGAACTGAAGAGCTCATGGGGGCCTGAACAGTCAAGGTCTGATTATCTTCAGTCACCTGCTGAGATTGAAGAAAGATTCAGCTGAGAAGGTTCCTCTAGAGAACTATTTCAACTGTATTTACAGTGTTCCCTATTTTAGTTTCACTTATTGATTATTCATTCTGATTTCTGTTTTATTTGGAAAATATAAATGAGGATTATTTCAAATATAAAAATGAGCCTGCTATTATTTTTGTAACATTTAGGCTATGTTCACACTACAGATCAATTCCGATTTTTTATCCGTATGTGACACATATCTGATTTTTTTCATGTAAGTGTGAACAGTGCAATTCTGATTTTTTCAAATCCGACCCAGGCCTCTTTTGTATGTGGATATAAATAAGTGTTACAGACAGTCTCCCACTTACCCCTTTGTTTATGTTGCACTCCATCACTAAAATAAATCAAGTTTCTGCACAGCGGGGTGTTTTTGTAGGAACCAGGAGTGGATGGGTGCTCTCTTGGTGTTCAACCAACAATATTTTTGAAATTTTTTGGCCATGGTTCATTTTCCTTAATAGAAGTGTAACATGAGTTAAAAAATGTTTTAAGTCTGACTGTGATTTGATTTTATGAAAACTGCTCGCTGTGGCAGGGGCATTTTGGTGTCATATTAGATGTTTTTTTTTTACCTTTGCTGTGTTATTATCTTTTTTTATTGAACCTTTGCTAAACTTTCAATTGCTCGCAGAGTCCCTTATCTTGTCACAGATTTGTTTTACACACTGCTTCACAGTTGACTGTATGTTACCTCAGCATAACAGGTCCCTGCAGATATGTTCAACTTCATTAGGACAACAAAATTTTCACTGGAGTTCAATCCCTTAAGATGTATGTCGCTGTGAGGAACCAAGAGGCAAAACCGAAATTCACATGTTGAAAAAATGAGGTTTCACATCTGAACTGGTTCCTGATACCCAAGCCTAATGATCAGATGCATGTAAGTCAAAAGATCACAAAGGAAGAGTGGCACTTGACCATGTAAGGCTTTTAGAAATAAGCACAAATGCATAATGCATCAAGCTGAAAATGTTTTGTTTGACCAAATTCTTGTTTTCTTTTTCTGTAATCCAGCCGAAATCAGGCATAAACACAAACTGGATTACTTTCATTATAAAAGACAGGATGGGATCATATTATCCAATACAAATCGATAAGAAAGAGTTGATCCTATCCAAGTGTCCTAAAAGAGATGCAAGGAATCTATTTAAATTATATGACTCAGGCGGAGAACATATTAAAAACACACGAGGTAATCAGATGCAGCTGAGAAATACAAGAAAAAAGTAAAGGGAATATAATTATATCAATTAGACAATATGCATGTATCACAAAATTTGAAGAATAATGTATCAAACAAAATCTCATTTTTCATCTGACAATCTTCCATATAGCATCTTTCATCGCCAAGGATTCTATATACTTCTTTGAAAAGAGTTTTTTTATACACTAGAGGAATCTGTTGTTTTTATAACTTAGAGGTTGCATCATAAACCACAATTATTTCCAAAGTACTTGTGTAATATTTCAACATTACACATGCAAACATCTCAAACTTATTTGCAAGAAGGGCGCATAAAAGTGGGTGATTGTGAAAGTAAACTCAAACTGCGCACACACAGGTTTCAGTTCGGTTAATGCCAAAGTAAGATACCCTGGAAACAGTTTTAATGAGGGCTGAGTCAAAGACAGAGTGGAGATAAATTCATTTGAATCATTTAAATAATAAATCACCAGACTGATTAACACCTCTTAGATGTGCATGTTTTAGATCTGTAAATAAAACTCTTTATGCTTTCTTGCCTTATCCCCCTAATCCCCAGTGAAATCAGACGATAGAAACAATAGGAGTGATGAAGCAGATGGCAATTATATGTGTGAAATACAGCTCTTTGGAATAAAAGTCGCCAGACTATTAGCAAGGGACATGTTTCAGAAACACAAGAGGAAAAAATGTAGAAGTGTTAAATAAAGCTTATGACAAGGTCTAGGTGCAAATAAACATCTGATGACACCCTGTGTTGTGTTTTGCTTAATTACTATGAATAATTCTCTTTTTATTTTATTCAACCTTTAATTAACAAGGAGGGAAATCTTGAGATTGATCTATTTGTAAAGAGAGTGGTGGCCAAGATAGGCAGCATCCTTTTAGCACATTTTCCGACAAACAATGAAAATGAAAATTCTGGAGAAACAGAAGTATGTGTCCAAATCAACCTGAATCACAAGTAGACCAGGCATGAAACCTACAGCCAGACAAGTCTGCTTCCAGATAGTTCAATATCAAGAGGGTGCTGTTTTTGGAGTGGCTTCACCCAGCAAGGAGGCAGACACTGTCCATTCTATATACAGTCTATGCATAAGCAGTTGAAATTATAACTTTAAAAGAGTTGCTACATGTGATGTGGTGATCATCTCTCTTGTCCAAACTGTACAATGTCACTGTGACGAACCCTGACTTTTAGTCACTTGGCTAGCTTTAGAGTGGCTGTGCACTGATTCAAAAGTAGAAACCTCTGAAATTTGACAGTCAAGGCTATGAAGGATTCCCTTTTTGTCTCACTGTTCTTCACTCCTTCAGCTTGCACCACATAGTGCCATCCTGGCTAACTCGCAAACATAGCTAGAAACACATTCCTTAACCACCTTCCCTATTTGGTTTCAGTTTCAAGTGACTCTCTTTATTGTATACAACATTTATCCTTTTTACTCTTCCACTGAGTAAAAACCCATTACTAATATTTAAGAATGTACATCCTCACCTTTACTGCCTGGAAATCCACCACTGTGTTTAAAATCAAGCTCAAAGAATCATGGGTACTTAGGACATATTTGTCAGCTGCATCAAAAGGAGCCTCTGAAATGGGAGTGCCTTCGACACACCACTCTGATCAGTCTTCAGATGTGAAAGATGCAGCCTCTGAGTCAGAATACATGCAGATTTTGTGTTTCAGAAAGGGTGAAATTGATTGGGAAGATCTCGGCCAAGTGTTTACTTATCCTTATCAGGCTGTAAAAGGTTCACAGGAAACACCTGACTTATTTAAGAGTGGTTATACCAAGATGAGCAGAATTGGATGGGTGGACCTGAGAGCATGTTTTAGCCACATGATGGTAAGTGTTGGCATGCTGGATCATGCAGATATGCTAAGACTAGAAATGCTGCTTCATTTGTTGGTATGGATTTTGAGTATTTTAGGCCTCAACTGTTTTGATTTCAGGTTTTACTCTGACTTCAACACCTGCCTATGGCTCTTTTTCCTTTTTTTTTCAGTGAACGATTGAGTAACTGTCAACTCTCACTTCTCTTTTCCGACATGCTTTTTGATGTTCCACACAAGTAAGATAGAATCACTTGGGAATACACCTTTCCCTTATACTGTATTTAAATGTGTCTTAAAACTGAGTCAAAGTCAAAAAGGTTTCTAAATTTGGTGCTACCCATTTCCTCAAAATCAAGAGGTAAACAGGCAAACATGTTCCAAAACTCATAGAAAGGTCAAACATAATAGCTTTTTTTAACTTACTAACTTTTTTTTTAAATTTAATTTCCTCCATAAGCCAAAAAAAGCCAGCCAATAAGAATATTGAAGTTGCTTGGATCTGCTGGGTTTTTTTTTGTGTTTTTTTTAAATTAAGTGTTATGAGGACATCAACTTCACCAAAAATACAAAACACACACACACACACACACACACACACACACAACCTTTTCAAAGTTGGTTTTCCTAAGTCCAGCGTTCAGTAATGTAAGAAACGTGAATTTTTTTGTCGTTTCATTTAGAAGACACATTTTATTACTATATGTACAGAACACACATGGAAGTACAGCATATCCCAACAACATGACAGATTTAATATGAAACATGAAACTGAATTTGCAACAAAACAAATAGATTTGGAATAATTGAAGAGGACATCACCTGATTTTTATATGCGCAATTTTGTAAGCTAAGCAATAACTGTTTGGTAACACTTGGTGTAAAACACAAATCTTAAAGTTATCGATGCTAATTGAGGGGCTTTAAAAATGTGATTTGTAGCAGCACTTTGTAGCTATTTTCCAGTCACTGGGTCTTTTTTGTTGTATGTGCACATGGATGCTGCAACACAAGCCCACCAGTGGTACTATTTTTTTCTGTTTAACAAATGAGATTAAACACCACCACAAGCTGGAAAAGACAAAAACAAAGATAACTAACTGGAAAACGTAAAAATGAGACATGAAATTTAAAAAAATTCAGGCTCAAGTGTTTCATCAAAGTAGAGGAAAGCAGCAACTGCTGGTTTTAGAAAATGGAGACAATGTACAGGAGAAATAACCTGCAGTTCCTCAAGTGTCCACTTGAGGCTGGTTTTTAAAGCCAAGGAAACTCTATGAGATCCTCAACATGTTAACAGCCTGTTTTATTCGCAAAGCTCTTGAATGGATTTTCTTTCCATTAATCAACCTTTTTTGATTACAACAAAGCTAAGGGCTATACATAAATTTACAGACTTGGTGGTTGACTTACATGTGTGTGTGTCATAACTGTTCAACATGAGGTTTAAGGCCTGCCTCAACTGATACATAAATACAAGTCTAGGTTGAATCTGCAATACAAATATGTGAACACCATTGTTGGGCTTAAACCAGTCGATAACATCACTGAGATGTGGTCCGTGTGTAAGGTATGGAAGGAAATGCATTAAAAAGGTTTGTCGAACATCATGGATACACACAATGCATTAAGGTTCAGAATACAAAGATAAGTTTAGTCCTGGTAAGATGAATGTCATAGCAAGAGGTTTCTGTTCACTCATATTGAAGGCAGCTAAAGTGATAAAAAATATTGTTAGCTCTTTTCTCCTGAGATTTCACATCTGTGTGCTGGACTGAAACTAGAGGTAAGATTGTAAGCATGATTTGTGATGGCATTTTACTCATTTCTATAAGTACATCACACATTTAGCATTTTGAGGATGAAACCATGTTTGAGGTCACTGCATGCAGATATCAAGTTGTTTGTTTCAAAAATAAGGTCAGCAGTCAGGGTAAGAGGGCGGCTCTCATTGCGGTTGTATCAGTGTCTCACTTAACTGGCCTTTTTAAGCATGCTCTACATCCTTAACGCTTGTTCAATGGGCAGCAGACGAGCATGTTTTAGGAGAGGTTTCCTCCGTTGTTCCTTAGCTGCATTAATCTCTGCTTTCCTGAGAAAGTCCCCAATATCCATAAGGAAACGTGTAAGCACAGGAAGTCATTCTGTTGATGCTCTTTTTAAATCCTTCCCTTGTGCTCACTAATCCGGTCCAAGGGCAGCTGAATTCCTACGGATTCAGATGCTGAGTAGCTGCATGAAATCCCTGATGCAGAGAGTGTGACATTTCTTGTCCGGTTATAATTTTAAGTAGGCCTGGGCTTTAAGGGACCCCTCATCTTGCACAGGTCTTGGTGATGGTTTTTCACTCTTGCAGCCTTGATCTTCTATCTGTTAGTCTCTCGGTTACACTAGCAGTGGTGCTGTTGAGTTGAATCTTGTTACCGTCGATAAAATCCTTAGATGAACCTTCAGGTGATGTCCTCACAGCGCTGGAGAACGACATGCTAACCTGGAGCTTCAACAGCTTCATGAGTTTCCTCTTGTAGCCCTTGCAGGCGAAGAAGTAGATAAAAGGGTCCAAGCAGGAGTTGAGGTTCATCAGACACACAGTGATGTGCAGCGATATCTGGAAAGCTGTAAGCTCAGCGCAGTCGGGTTCGTACATCAGCTTGCGGATCATGTACTGCAGGATGTCGATGTGATAGGGGCTGTAGCAGATGACGAACACTAAGGATACACAGCAGATCACGCCAATGGCTTTGCGACTACGGCCAGACTTTTCAGTCAAATGGTTTTTCTTGGCTGTGAGACGGAGTTTGGAGCACAGGACGGAGTAGCACACTAGGATGGTCACCACGGGGATGCCATAACCAAGGAAGACTGCTCCAATCAGTACAGGGGCAATGTTGTCGACCTTTTCGAAGTTGGGGTATTCCATACAGGTGATCATACCATCAGGCTCATCATTCGTCATAGGACTGCTCAGGAGAGGGAGGGTTTGCCCTAAGACCAGCAGCCACACCCCAACACAAATGTACTTCACATTGCTAACCTTCCTGAATCTAGCATAGCGCAGAGGCAGGACCACAGCGATGAAGCGGTCCACGCTCAGGCAGGTCATGAAATTGACCCCAGCATAGGTGTTGATGTAGAAAACAAGGCCTGAGATCTTGCACAGCGGCTCGCCTAGAGGCCAGTGGAAGCCCAGAGCGTAGTACGCAATCCTCAGAGGCAAAGAGAAGGTGAAGAGGATGTCTGAGATCACCAGGTTGAGGGAGTATAAGGTGGTGGAGTTCATCTTCTTCAGGTTTGGGCGGATGACGTGTAGAGCGAGGCTGTTACCAAGAAGTCCAACGATGAACACGATGGAATAGAAAAGAGGCATGAGGACCCTGGCATAGTTGCGGTGTGCGTAGAGGGTGTCACAGGAAGTGTTGTCGGAGTAATTGTTGGTGGAGGAGAGGATCGAGGCTGTAGGCACAGTGGTCGAACTCATCTTGATGTTCTCACAGCCAGGTACTGCAAAGAGGAACAAAATAGAGTGTAAATACTCAGACAGGGTTTTCCTCTTGTTTTTCCCCCCACAATGATTCACAAATGTGATTCAGGAAATGTGTATTTTAAGGGAAGAAGATCAGGCAAGTGCTACTGAAAAAAAAGTCTATGGTGAAATGAAACTCTTCAGAGTAGTATAATTGAAAAAAAAAACAGAACACATGAAGGGTGAGAAAAGGAAGTGAAGCCTCACTGTCAAAACTCGATTTAGTGTAACTTTCATCAATTGATTTTATCACATGGTATCATCTTTAATGTCAGTTTCAATCACTTTGTGTTTCCAGAGAATGAAAAGAGCAAGAAAACCCAAATAGGAAGTCAAATTCCCCTGAATCTGACTCGGACAAAGAATGGATTCATGACTTTATTTTGATTTTTTTTCCCCTCAGTGAAGCGGGAAGTCCCTCCGGGGTGTTTCCAGATTTTTTTGACAAGGGTGGCAAAACAAGGACACTGACTTTGTGAGGATGGTGTCAAGGACACATTCACACTCACAGTATATGACCAGCATTTATATACCCCTCCTACCTCCACTACTTACAGCTACATAAACTATTTACATTGATGTAACCACAAGTTATTTTATCCCTGTGAATGTGATTAACCTTAAAAAGTAACATGAAATGATAATATTTAGATTTAAATCGAAGTAGTGGTTTTGGACAAGCATCCTCTATTAAAGTCCTAAAAAAGGAAATGTGTCAAATTGAAATGCAAACAGCGCTTGGCAGCCTGTTGCAACTCAACAGCTGGTCTTAATCCTGATAAGGCATATAGCCAGACATGGCTAAAGCTTTTTTTAGGTGGCCAATTAAGATGTCAACCTATATTACAGTAACAAAAACGAAAGAAAACTGGAGTCTCTAAAAACGGAAGTTTGAGAACCCTCATTTTAATTCTGTCTAGACAGAAAAACTGTTTAGAATTTAAGGATATTTTTCATTTAACAATTTTTCAGCCACTGTTTTCTCTGCTGAAGTTTTTCAATCCTCTTCCACAGAAAAAAACATGTAATTTTCAAATTTCACAGACTATCTATGAGGCCTCACATACAGTGTTTAAAGTAAATAATAAATCGCATTTCAAGGGGGGGCACGTCCACCCTTCTTCATCCCCTAGACCTGCCCCTGGGTCCTTTATCTGATTTCTCTCTGATTTCCATCAGTAACCAACCGAGAGGTACATAGAAGCCACTAGTCTGTGGCTGTGCTGTATGAGTAGTTTCTGTGGTGTATGGTGCCATCTTGTGGTTTTTTCTAGCAAATCTGATAAGGCAAAACTTAACCCTTTATTTTGAGCTGGTTACACAAACCAGTGCCTCACACAATCAAGTTTTACATTTCTTTCAGGTAGAAAAAGTGGGGTGCTTGTTAGCCTAGTGGTGGTTGGTTCAACTCTCAGCTATGACCTTTGGCCCAAATTTTCTGTCAGTCTTTTGTTGTCCAATCAATTCAAGCAAAATTTGCACCGAATACTATATTCTCTGTTGTGTTTGAGTCTCTATGGAAAAGTCTTGTACCATAATGTCCTTTGGTATTGAAGTTAGTTTTGATTTGAGACAACTATAAAGAGGAAATCTGCTTTAATGGTGAATTCACGATTAAAATAATATTTAATACATGAATCATTTTTCTCAGGACAGATTACAGCCAACTTTTGAACCAGCTTATGCACCCAGTGACTCACAGGACATAGCTGCTGTTTTTGCTGCTAAAAGTGACATGAAGGAAGTGTGTGTGAACAATAAGCCAGCTTTACAAAGATTCTGAATGCAGCTGCGGCACTCTCACACTTGTGCAACAAAAACATTTGGTGTTGAGAGACACGCTTGTATATGAGGAAGTCAGCTTCCCCAGGGTGCTCTGCCTCAGAATGGCACGCCGTTGGAAAGTTATATTGTTGGAGCCAAAATTACACCACCCTGCAGCTATGGCCGTGTCCTCCAGCACATGGTGTAGTGGAGGGTTTGTTTCCTGTCCTGTTAGCAGAAGTGGAGGGGTATCTAGGGCAAATATGTGGCACACATTTGTGCATTTGCTATCAGAGTAAAGGTCTTTATGAAAGTTCAATTATTATCAATTATAAAACTGTATGAAAGTGGTCTCTGTTTGACTGTTGTTAATTACTCCATATAAGTGATGGCATGTATATATATATATATATATATATATATATATATATATATATATATACACACACACACACATATCTACATATGTATTTATATATAGAGATATATTTATTTTCCATTTGTTTCCTGATCATCAGAGTAATGTGTTTGTCTTGCTTTCAGACTTTTACTTTAATTTTTGTTTGCATCATAAAAAGAAAAAAAAATAGTGTGTGGGCAAAATCATTACTCATTACAAAATCACAGCTTTTTTTTTTTTTTTTGCCTTGAAAGCAATTAAAAAAGCATTACTTTTCAATTATCATCAGTATTACCATCAATAAATTGTTATGTCCAAACGACAGCAGGCTTAAGTTTGTAAAAGTGTTGAAATTTGTAAACGTGAAACCCCCCTGCCAGACGTGCAAACCGACACTTGTTTTGCAACAGCTGGTTGAGGGTGTTAGCAGTCAGCACATGGCTGACATGAAAATCGAATACATTTTTAACACGAATCCAACAGAAGTTTAACTGAAACAGAAATATATAGATATACATGTCCCCCCCTTTTAAAGAAACAGTATTCAAAGAAACTTACCTCACAGTTTGAAGAGGTTGTGTTGTTTCCCAGAGCTCACTCTGATCCAAAGGACATCACACTTGATGCTGCAAAGTCTCTCACAGTTTTATTAGCTGTGTCCTGAAAGCACAACCACGTTGCCCTGAATGAGAACAGCATGACATACAGAAATCAAGATCTGTATCTGCTACGGGTAACCATAGTGACAAAATATCCTGTTGTAGCTCTCTATCCCCTCCTCTTTCCCTCTATGGCCATGTGAGTGTGTGTCTCCTCTCACTTTTGTTTAACTACAACCTGTCACTTCACGCTTTTGAAAGACCTTGTTTCACCCAAAAATGTCATGTGACACCATAGTGACGCACTTGATGTTTCATTATTTCACCTTTTTTTTTTTTTTTTTACTAAGCTGTAGTTTGAGCTCTGTGTGTCATATTTTGGATGAGGAACATTAAGGTTTCATACACATGGGAGGGGAGGTAATGCCATGTGAGATGTCTCTAGGGAGGATGTGGCTTTGGCTGCACACATGAGACTGTCCACAAGTGTTCTTAATGAAAGTTAGCTTTATGTTAGCTTTATGTTGTGTTTTTGCACAAAATTAATTTACAATATTCTCTTGAAATTCCTGATTCAGAGAGATCTTCAGTTAGTGATGAACTTCTCTTTAGAGGTTGTTTATGGGTGAGTGGTTAGGAAGTTCCCCTCAGCCTCAGATGCACCTTTTGATTTGATGTTTTGGGCTCGGGATGACTTTCAAAAATGAAGAACTATACTTATGACTCAAACCGATACAAATGTAGGGATCTTCTTTTTTTTTATATATCATAAATACATCAGATAGTAACATGTACTTAAACATCAAGGATCATAGATGAATCATTGTTCATATGTTTGGTCTTGGACTGGTGTCGCAGTATCAAAAGGTTTTTCAAACAAGTTCACAGTACCTATGGTTGAAGTGTAGAAGCAGCAGAGTCTTGAAACACTTTGGAGAGAGAGAGACCAGAAACCATTTCCAGTGTAAGATGTGGTTAAAGCTTTATATTATACAAGAAAGTGAAAGAAACAAAGAAAATGTGACCACACACTGAACAAATGAGCCACCTTAAGAGTTCAGACACAAATGAAGGAGCAGCTAGCTAACAGTCACCGCTGCTGTTGAGGATTTTGAGGCTCCAGGAAAATTAAAATATCACAGTGGGGCCCACCTCTTTACTGTAAGTATTCTTTATTTTTTAGGGTCCCTGTCAGTCAGTTTTGGGGCTCATCCTAACTCCCCCCATACAGGATGGCACCCTTGTTTTATTTGTTTTCCTAAGACTGCATACAAAAGCATAATTAGGGGAGCATGATCACAAAAAGAAAATAAACGTCTAATTATACAAAAGGGAAAAGATTCATTGCAATATTTCTGTGTGTTTCTAAGTAAGTCCTGATTTTAAATTAATATTTAAAGCTCCTTTTATGTAATGTACAGTTACAGTAAAGATAAATTTCCCCATGGGGACCAATAAAGCTATCTATCTATCTTGAGCAACTTCCAGTTTGTGTCACTTTTTCTCCCTCTGACAAAGCAGTCTTTACTTATCTTTTTCTTCATATTCTCAAGAAGTGTTTCATCCTGCAGACTTCTGACAGTCAGGTGTCTCATTTCTTGTAAACATTTTTTGATGAAATTGTGAAAACAGGGCTGTTTTTTCAGCTGCTTGACTAACACCTACCCCCTCTCTTCGGTTTCAGACATTAACATACACAATAAAAAAAAGGTCATCATTGTGGCTGATGGTCTTGTTTGTTTTTGAGTACCATGAAAACACTTCAATATTAATTTAATCTGTTTCATAAATGTAAAATATCTCCTTAAAATAAAGGCAGGGCCCCAAGATGCAAAAGGAAATAATCACGAACTATTAAAAAAATCAGTTGAATGAATGTTTTGTTGAGTTTAGCTGTAACTTGTCAAGTGTAACTCAGAGGAAAAAACATCTTCAGACAATGAAAGCAGACGTTCCTGATCTTGAACCTGAGATATCCTGTGGTTTTCACACCTTTTAATCAGTTCTGCTCTTCTGGGTGTGTCCTACTCAATCGAAGTGAGGGCTGTGCACGTTAGGGGCATAAGTGTGAGGGTATGTTTGCGTTCACATGCATTGTTTTTCCAGTGAGTGCATGAGAAAATTTTTAAATGAAGAAAAATAAGATGTGATTCTTGTACTGCTCAGCTGTAATTAGGACACACCCAACAGCTGTAGTATCATAGTGGGTGGCCCAGGTTCAAGTGTGACCTGTGGCCCTGTCATTTCTCACCCACTATCCCCCCCCCTAAATAAAGGCGTCAGAAGCTCATTGGTGTAATGACTTCTGTTCGTGGATGGAGTATGTTAGGCGGCAAATGAAAATTTTTTTTTCACAGGGTGAGCATGAGGATGTGAAAGACTAAGTTCATGCTGCAGGCCTCAATGCTCAAATCTGATCAACTGCTCAGATCTGATTTCATTACTTTTGCTTTTGAACCTTATCTTTTATGGATGACCAGTATCAGATTTCCATGTCAGCACAGTCCCAGTTCTTAACTGACCTGCACATGCAAAAGAAGGACAACAAAAACATCAGTGTTATTAAACTAGTTTTCTGCCTTAACCTTGAGAAGGCGCCGTTTACAATAGACATTAAGATATGGATAAAATGGCACTTTACAGCCTAATGATACCAGAGGCAAGGGCACTTCTAATGGCTTAACATTCATAAGTTTAGAAGTACCTCAGTAATGTTGACCTTCATTTTCTTCGATGTCAACCAAAAAGCATGGTGGACACCATAAGTGTGCAGGACAGTGATTGCAAGATAAGATAAGATAAGAAGAACTTAATTGATCCCCAAAGGGAAATTCAATTAAGTGTTGCATCTTGGATTTGTTGTTGTTGTTTGAAGTAACCACTGCAGAGCTGTGGCTGTAATTTGTTGAGTCTAGCTTCTCTTTCTGTGTCACTAACATGAAATGCCGCTCTTCATTGTTGGTGTTCAATGAAGCTTGGATAAAAGGTTCCAAGTTATGCAGTCCAGGCTGTGGTTTGTGTTTACGTCAGTCATCGTTGCAACCCAGATGCCAGCCAACAAGTGGGCCACTGACTCTCTTTGATGAAAAGAGGTTATTTTGTGCTCTTAGAAAAGCCTCTCTGGGATTTTTCCTTGTCAGCTTTATAAAATGTGGTTCTGAATAATGTTGCATGTTTTCGGTTTTTTTTTATTGTTCATGAGAGCCCTTTTATTTGCGTCTTTATTACATAAACACTTCCTGATTAGTTGGATACTGTTTTGTACAAAGCAGTGGTTGAAAAACAAATGAAACATGTATAGTTATATATATATAGTTATTAGAGGGTTCATGTTTTCTATGATTGACACTTGATACAGCTTTTTGGCTTCAAATCTGTATACTGGCGAAAGGCGGAACCAAGTTGTCCATAGTATATACAGTCTATGATTCCACCATGCGCAGGTACGTCAGCTTTCCCTAACTCATTTTAACAAAAAAATCAGCAAAGGCTGGATTACTGTATAGTCCTGCAGATTATCTATCCAGATTATCTTGTGCTTTGAGGTGTTGGGATTGAGTTTTCCTTCTTTTGAACTGTGTGGAAGACGATCGGAGCCCCCCAGACTTCAAATCGTAAATATTAAACATGTTCAATTTCTATGACATGAGACCCTTCTATGTGAATCCCCAATGACAGCCAAGCATGAACTCTGGCTAGTGGGACGTGGAGCAAAATGATTGCTAATCAGAAGGCAAGCTGACTGTAGAAGGAAGCGCAACTAATGCAGCCATGGCAGCAATAGTAAACGGGAGGCATGGACTCCAACAAAAATCTGAGTAATTGTGTCCACATGGTAAACACGAGTGCTTACGCAGCAAATTTGTTAAACTGTCCTGCTTCCAACATGACAGCAGAGATATTGACCAGATATTGGAACAGCAGTGGGTGCACCAGGAAGCTAAGCAGCAGGCAACGGTTAGCTCTCATATGCCCTCCCATGCCTCTGAAGTCAAGTTTGACCACGTGACATTCTTCAATATTTCTTGTTTTTACAGTCGGGTCCCTCAGCTGCATGTGCTAAGAGTCTGCATGATGTATTGTGTTAACCACATTGTTGCTCACTACACGATTTAGTAACAGAGGTGTCAAAACAGTCATCCTTTGTATAGGGTCTAATCAGTTAAGATCTTTAGTGTGTGCCAGGCTTTAGCCTAAATTTTAAATATCTCTGCCTTGGAGAGGGATTTCTAAAACCCCTTTTTTAGTTACCTAAAACTATATATATGCATGTGGACAGGACTCCTCTTCTGCTGCACTAACAGAACTATCAAATTGCTCCAGAGTCTGACAAGTGGATTTATCCTGACGCCCAAAATATAATATCAGAAGCTCACTGTAAAATCGGGAGGTGATACAGCTCTTAAAACCTAGCTACAAGAATCAGATTCGGTTCAATTTTTCCTGTTGTCTGAATGCAGCTGAAAAAGTTAATGCTGGCACCAATAAAAAGAAATAACATAAACACGTAGCCACAGTTTGACATGGTGTGCGCCTGAAGATGGGGGCATGAGTGTCAGATCTGGACCTCAGAGTGATGGAAAAGGTGACCAAGAGGAACATGATGACCTAAAGGTTTTTACATGGTCTCAAGATCTCCATTCGTGAATCTTTGGGATGTGCTGAATATAACAGTCTGTTCTGTGAAGACCTCTCTTAAGAGTATGCATACATCTGGGTGGCAGATACTCCAGCGCACCTTCAGAGGTCCGCTGGAGTCCATGTCCCACAGCCCTGACCTGATGGGGGAAGTGGGAATGGGGGCAGTAGCTGGTACGTGGTGCGAGTACAAGATTCACGTTGTTTTTTTATTGACTTAAGCTGTCCTTTGTTCAAAACAAGTCTGGCAGCGCAGCAGAGGAAGCAGTTTAACTTCCTCGTGGCCTTGCCATGTGGGTCTGACTCACTGCACCTCAGACGGCCAGATCACAGCCAGTGCTGACAGACAACAGACACTGTTTTCTGCCAGGTCTATTCATAGAAAACAATGATGAGTGTAAAGAATAGTCATCTATATCATCTTTACACTTTACCACATGGTCCTGGCGTTATTGGGATTTATTTTTTAATACGGGATTTAATTATCTGTATCATGATGAGCAGAAAACAAAAGTCTGAAGAAAATGACTCTTGAGCAGATTTTTCTGAGTTTTTTGATACTAATCGTCGTTTGAACATCCTGTTTATGACACAGGAAGTGAAAAGTTTGAAACTTCAAAAAAGGATTTCCTCTTGAGTTGTATCTGTTGAAATTATCTGGCTGGGATGAATGTTTAGTCTGCTCCAGCCTTAAACTGATGCTGTTTATAAAGTGGTTCTCTTTAAGTCCATATGCAGGTGATTGGACTCATCAGTGTTTGCTCCAGATGTGGTGGAGGACAAGTCGAGCGCAAAGACAGCTTTTAACAAAATCACATGTATGAGAAGGATTTAGTAACACTTAGAAACACTCCCAGTTTGATCATGATGGGACTCAGTACAAAGAAAACAGTCCAAGCACTTTGTTTGCTCTGTGACATTAAGAGGAAGGTGTAAACCAGGCGTTTTCACCTCATTTAAACATCAAAAAACCACCATGATTAGATAAAAGGCCAATTCAATATCTCACAAGCACCCCATTATCATCTTTAATGTTTTATCAGTCTACTGTTAGGATAGTACATAGTAAAAAAGTAGCTTTTTACTAGAAGGTGATGAAAAAACTGTCAATAGTGTGACTACAGGCTGTCGCTGAGAAGGCGATGATGATAAGATTGCAACAGTTTTAACAGGAAACAGTTCTTAGTACTTCAGCAGATAGAAAGCAACACTTGGTTTGCCAACAAAATTTACATCAGACTGCTAACTGATGACATTTACAATCTACCCTTTCATTGTTTGTGAGAAATAATAGACTTTGGAAGAGATGACTAACCAACCCTTGATTAAAAGTTGCAGTACAGATGTGGTTTTGATATCAATGTGCTTTTTGTCCAGTTTAAAGTTTGGTTGGCAGCTGATTAAACAAAACCTTTGTTCAAAACTGCACAGGGTTTATGAAAAATGCGGCCTCAGTTTATGGGGAAGTGACTCATTTTGTGAGGTCTGGGATATTGCATTATTGATTAAAAAACACACACACACACACAATTCAAGGCTTTTAAAATTCATGTTAAAGAAGTCCAACAAACCAGGAGGCCCCGACTGACCACCCCTACACTTCTTTAAAACTTACAGTAGGCCTGAAATCGAAGATCTAATGTACTATGGTATTGAAGAAAAGGCAAAAAAACACTACAACTGTGTGACAGCTATGACACAAGTTAAACCTCATTTCTAGTGAGTTACCATTTCACTGATTTCTCCGTAAGATAAATCCCACAACGAGACTTAGGAGTAGGAGGCCAGAAATACAAAAATGCATAATGCATAATATTTTAGGGGATCTTTCTTCGTGTTTATTGATGCTGTTTACTGCCCCAGGTCAAAAAAAAAGTTGGGATGCTGTAAAAAATGTTGATTAAACAGTTTGTTGGTCTATAAATCATCCAAACCTAAATTTGGTAGTCAAAAAGTGTGATGGTTTCATGAAAAATATATGCTCACTTTAAAGTTGGTGTCAGCAACGTGTTTCAAAACTTCTGGGCAGGGACAAAAACCACCGAACAGTTATGCAACTCACACACACGCGCGCACACACACAAATACACTCACACACGCACACACGCAAACACCTGGTAGAATATCTCTGAACTGTTTCACAAAAGGTTTGTGTCATGACTGTGTAGAAAAAGGGCAGCCATCAAGGTTGGCACTTTCAGAAGTACAGAAGGGACAAAGTTCACCACTTCATTAGAGATAGTCAGAGCAAAGAGTTTCAACAGTTTCAGAATAAAGTCCCCCAGCGAAAAACTTTAAAGAATTTACAAAATAAAAGATCCAAAGAATCTGAAGAAACCTCTGTTTAAAAAAATGTAAGGTGGAAAACCTGCACAGGATGGTAGTGATCTTTGGGCCATCAGGCAGCACTGCACAAGCAGACATGACTGTGGTGGAAATCAACATATGAGCTCAAAATTACTTTTAAAAAAAACAGAGCAGTATGTGGACAAAGTTTGTTACTACATCCACAGTAGCATGATAAAAAAGATGGAAGTGTGTATAACCAATGGCACAGAAGGCCAGCAACTTCTCTGGGCAAGAGGTCATCCCAGAAAGGCTGAGGCAAAGTAGAAAACTGCCCTGTGGTCCAAATCAAGATTGCACTTTGCATTTCAACACTGCATGAACACAGAATGGCTCTGTAGTAGAGGAGTCTTAGTGCCTGCTTGTAATCCTGACTTGTCACCTATTAAAAGGTGTTGGCACACCCTGACACAGTAAATTATGCAACAAGGGAGACCTGAAAATTGAGCAGGTAAAATCCTGTATCAAGCAGGAAAAGGACAGCTTTTCACCTTTCACTTCTAGACAATAACAAGAGGAGGTGATGCAACACACTGGTGAACGTGACAGGAGGCACATTGCTTGCTTAAAATTGAACATGTATGTATCAGAAAAAGAAAAAATGAATCCGTTTCTATATCAGATATGTTGTTTTTACATAGTTTTTCATTCAACCTTTAGGGTCAGACTTTTGTTTTTCTTGTTTATAAAGCAATTTTTATGAAAAAAGTAGTGGTCCATTTAATAAGTATGACAGAGGTGCAACCATTACCACAAATACAGACAGTCACCACACTGTTTACGCACCTGCATGGTTGATCATTCTGCTCTAAGCAGACAGTAATGATGTTGTACAGTCTAATTTAAGACTTTCCATCTGAATCACTGATGTAGTTCACTGTAAGAGCAGCATGCCTCTGCACACGACTAATACACAGGACCTGATTTTAGATCAGCGTCAGCAGCGCAACGTTGCCCTCTGCTGGACAAAAATGATGTACAACAAAGTTCCTCAATTTATCTTGTGATGTGATTTAATTTAAATGGCACATCAGCTAAATAAACTGAATAAATTAAATCTTTTTTATGCATTCTTTACAAAAAAATACAAACTCGAAAGAAAATATATAACACTTGCATTGTTTGAGTTTATGTCTGTTTTAAAAGCGTCTAGTTTAGGGGAATACTGAGCTAAAGACATTTATCTTTTCATGTCAGGGCATGAAGTGTCGAAGAGTATGATATGGCACTACGAAAATAATGCCATTCAACGCTGAAGATGCCTACAACAGGAGCATGAGCCTAAAGAAAGAGGTTGTAGTGGATTACATAATAAGAAGCCACAAACTGACACTTTCCTGGGTGAGGAAGTGAAAATGTTGCAATCTGTCATGCAACTATCAGTGATAATCAACAACAAAGTTGACTCATACCAAAAGGCGGGCAGGCTAAGCTTAGACAGGAGTGTAACCATCTGTAACAGTGTTTTAACACTTCTTCTGATAGATATAAGATTTACACAAACTAACACTGAAAAACTCAGATTATCTAGTGATTAAGTATGTGTGACACTTTTATTAATTGGAGTGTGGCCTGCTGTCTATTTCAGTATCTACAACTCACTCATACAAAAAAGTAAATAAATAATAAAAATCTTTTCTTAAGTCTAAGAAAAAAGTGACCTGAGTACATCGGAGTATAAGAGCCACATTTAGTGGTTGAAATGAGAGCTGTGGAGCATTTTGTGAAAATGTACTTCAGTATAAGTTTCTCGAACAAATCTTTTGGCACATCAGCACCACATTATCATAGTATCATAATGATTTTATTACGACTTTTTTCTCATGAGTAATGATTTTTTATGACTTTCTTCTCGTAAGTAGTTACTTTATCATGAGTTTATTCTGGTTTGTAATGACTTTATCCTCGACGTGGCCCTAATACTCTGCTGTACCTGAGAGGTCAGAGCCTTTCAAGGCTTTTAAGCATATCTACATAGTTTATTTAATCTGAGTTTTATAATCAAAAGCAAACACAACTTCTTTGTTGATGTTGGTTTAAATTTACAATTTTTTGGTTCACTTTGGCAGTCTCTGAGTCTTCTGGCATCTCTGTGTTTGTTGCAGCCAGAAAAGCCAGATTTTTCCCCCAAAGTTGTCATAAAAGTGGCAGTTTTGTAAAGGCATTGATTTCTCTTTAGACATCAAATGTCAACTGTGAGCCACCAGGATGAAAGCTCCAATGAAAGCAAACTTTTTACTGACGAGCTGATGTACATTTTTAAGTCCAGACACAAGATACAATCAGAAAAATGATGGAAATGCAAACTAACTTGCCATTAAAACTAACCTCAGTCTACACGAATGGAGGGTGGTATGAAGTTATGAATTTATCACTTCTCTACCTGTAATATTTGATGCCATGCTTTTTTAGAGCCATTAAAAAGAGACAAACGTAATATTACTCTTTACAAACAGTACCGGGAAATTACACATTTGTGACAGGGCTGTGATTGATGGAAAGTCAGATACATGGCCTCTGATTGGTCCAAAAACTTAACACAATACACCAGGAAATGGCTGAGAAGACATAATGTTTTCAACAAAGATCACTGTGATGCAACTTCCTTGTGAGACAAACTTGAGGTTTGGGTTGTTTTTCACACAAAAGGTCTGAAACTGTAAATCGTTCTCCAGTCTGTTAACTAAACAAGAATTACCACTCTTATACTGGTTACTGAGTTATACATTAGAAGAAAAACATATTATTTGCCAGTATAGCAGACACATGAAGTAGGCTGCCAGAATAGATAAAGTGACTTATTCTTTTATGAGAGTGTGGAGAGTAAAACCAGGTCCTTGTCTTCAAGGACATGCTAGAGGACGTTTGTTGAAGTTGCAACTCTGGCATCGACTGTGTGTTCACATGCCCATGATGTGATATGAAATCACACGTTGGAGCACCAATATCACGCTGTTGCAAAGTTGATGCGATTTGTAGCAGCTGCATCTCTAGGTGTAAACGAAAAGTGACTGTAGAACTTTGTTACTGTACTCTTTTAAACACCTGATGTTAGAAGGGCTGAAATAATTAATTAGCTGTTCGACTGTTTTTCACCTTTAAATATTTCAATCTTGCTCTGAATCTGTGTTTAGGGTAATACTTTATGCAGATGATTCCATTTCTTCCCTGTGCTCCTTGTATTGATCAGATATGGCCGACCTGGAACTTTGATTATTAATAATGTTTGATTTTTATGATCCCAGGCTAGGAAGGCTTTGACTAAGATGATGTGTGAAATGATTTAGGGGGTCATCATCCCTTCATGCTGGTATTTTTGTCACCCTGACTCTGATAACCCCTAATGCACACTTCAATCAATCAGTCAATCAGTCTTTATTTACATAACACCAATTTACAACAAATGTTATCTCCAGGGCGCTTCACAAAAAGGTCGGTCTACACCATCCTTAGCATTATATTTACAACAATGTAAGACTGAGCCTCATCTTGTAAGATCAGACCCACTCCCATCTTCAACCACAAGTATAACACTTTGCAGCACATGCAGGTGACTGTAGCGGGGACAAACTTCCTTTGAACAGGCAGAGACCTTAAGCAGAACCTGACTCATGTTAGTCATCTGCTGAGACTGCACTGGCCATTGACTGCATTGACTGTGTTTTGTTAGTTTGTGATCAATTTATACACACAGAAAAAAAAGAAGGAATGAAAAACAGGGCAGCTCTTCAAAACCTCAAGAAATGTTTCATGTTAAATTTAGCTCTGGTACTCTGCACCATAAAAAGGCAACGTGCACCTGTTTAAATTCATGACACCCACTCACAGCTCTAGATGTGGGGCCTGGCAGGAATAAGGCCTGTGAGGGGGAACAGGAAAGGTGGGTGAGGAAGTGGTGACTCTAATTTCTACGCATTACACCCACCACTCAGATGTGGGCGTAGAAGAGATGGGTGGCATGTTCTTATTTTTTGGCTTCACCCAAGCTCTTACCCAATATAAAATATTCACCCCAGAGGCAATCACGTCAATGTCTCACACGATCAGGACATCTGCATACTGGCACCTCCGCACAAAATTAAGACCTGGCTGTGAATTGCATTAATTACCAGAATTTCTTTTGCATTGCTGGAAAAAAAAGCAGTTTAATCTAGGTTGGTATATTTCCCTTACCATGCATGCATACATAATTAATCAAAAGCCATTATAGTACACACAAAAACAAATGCTAAGTCTGCTTTAGATTACTCCTACCTTGGAGACGAATAAAAAAGGACAAAGAACAACAAGATAAAGCAGTGAAATACAGCGGCTCAGTGGGGAAAAAATAACAAAGATTGAGTTTTATGCACCATTTGAAAAAAAAAAAAAAGATACATAAATTTTATGTCAAAATATTTAGAATGCAGGACTTGTCATTTCTTATAAAAGAGTTTACGTCATAGTGAAACAGATCATTTTCTGAGTGAAACAGAGCAAACTCGGTCTCCTCTGTGACAGTGGGTTTTAGGTTTCACTCCTGGAAGCAAAGCTGTGGTTTCTCTCAGGTGTTACTGCTGCTATTCTCAGCTGTCACTTTGGAGGAAGCACCAGAAGTGTGCAGAAAGTCCTTGAACAGACTCAACACCCGCTTCTTGTAGGTCTTGATGGCAAAGAAGTAGATGACCGGGTCCAAACAGCAGTTGAAGTTCATAAGTGAAACTGTAATCTGCAAGGAGAAGGTGGATTATGATGAGTTCATTCATAAAGAGGTTTTAAAATCTAGTGAACAAGCATGATTTCTACCTGTAATGACACTTTAAAGGCCCTCAGTTCCTCACAGTTTGGCTTGTGGTGTATCTTCCTGGTCATAAATTGCATAACATTAAGATGATAAGGGCTGAAGCATATGATAAAAGTGAGCAGGATGAGGAGAATGATGGTATTGGCTCTATGGTTCCTCCTTGATCGACTGGTCACAGAGTTTTGCTTGGCTGCAGTTCTCAGTTTCAGGTTGATCTTGGTGTAGCAGCCCATGATGATGACCAGCGGGCAGCAGAAGGAGATGACGCAGGCCAGGAGGAGGAGATATGGAGTGAAGCGGGAGCCGTCGAAGTTGAAATACTCCATGCAGGTTTGTCTCCCCTGGTGCTCATGCAGCATGCTGCGGAAAATCAGAGGCGCTATCTGCATGAATACAAGAGCCCAGACCAGGCAGCAGACTTTACGGACCACCTTGACCCTGCGCAGACACTGCAGCCTGTGTGGATGCACCATGGCCAGGTATCTATCCAGGCTGATACAAGTCATGAAGCCAATACCTGTTAGAAAAATCACAAATGTACAGCATGTTATCTTTCTAGTAATCAAAGATAGGAGCTTGTTCAATGAAATGTGTGATAATATGATGCTGTCGATACTCTTCCACCCTTTTGAATACTTTTATAATGTGGGCTGTGTTAGTGGTACTAAAATGTATAAAAGAATTCAGACAGAGTAAACGTGTTTAGATAGTGGTCAGGTGACCAACTGATCAAACTGTCCTTAAAAATTTGTCATTATTATTTAACGTAATGAGTCGCATTTTAATGCATTTTAACATGAAATAACTGATATGAAATAACATTACAAAATGCGGTGTCTTAACGTAATGTAGGTTTCTGTAATGCGGCATGAAACATGACATAATATGTTGTGATGTAACATATTGCAAAATGACATGTCAAAAAGAAACATTGGCAAACACTAAGTGATGAAACATGAGGTGACATAACATGATGTGACATAACATGAATTAATATGCATAAACATAACAGGAAATTACATGCGGTTTAACATGACATAATATCACTTAATATGTCAAAATTTGATGTAGCATAATGTCAAATGATAAACTTGAACATAACATGATATGACATGGCGTGATGTGACGAAACATCAAGTGATGTAGAGAGAAACTATTTCTATTGTGGGTGATTTTTGGCAGTAGGTGATCTTGCACTCCTGTCTCTACCTGTCCTTGTCTGGCATTATGGTGATGCAGGTGAAGTTGAGAGAAAAAAGTAAAAACTAACCCCAGAACTACACAAAGTTAAAATAATACTCCAGCTGGAGACGCAGACAAAGATACTCTGCATTTTCCAAAAACAAAAAAAAAATCTAACTGATCAAACTAAACTATTTAAACACTTAAAAATGAACTGAAATGGAAAACAAATTAAATATAAACTAAAGATTTTTAATACATTAGGCTCTTTCATGACTTTTTTTAAGTGAGTTATGATCCATTATAATACTTAAAAAAAGTTGATATGCTCTTCATATTCCTTAGACATGGGGTGTATGAATGTTACAAATTTAAATGAATTGTTTGGCTAGCTTATCTGTACTCACACAGGCATACAGGTGAACATTTCAAAGAGATGGGCTCACAGACGCAACAGTGTATTATCAACATACACACTTCTATTACCTGCATAAGTATTTGCAAAGAAGAGCAGCGTGGTCAGTCTGCAGAGAAGGTCACCAAAGGGCCAGTCAAAATGGCGGATGTAGTAAGTTATTCTTCCAGGCAGGGTCAGTGTGAACAGAGTGTCAGAGAGAGCGAGATTAACCAGATAGATGGAGGTAGAGTTGAACTTCTGCTTTCTCTGACAGATCACATAGAGGACCAGGCTGTTACCACACGCGCTGATGACGAAAACCACAGAGTAGAAAATGGGGAAGAGGACGACGGCTGCTCGTTGGTAAACAAACACATCACAACCGCTCTGATTAGGAGAGGCTTCAGCTGAGTCCAAGGTGATGTTTTCAACAGCCATAATACCTGTCATATATAGATATGAAAAAGAAGGTCATAATGTAAACTATGCAAGAGAAAAAACAAACCGTAAGCAAAGAAAGAAAAAGACAGCAGAGCTACTGATAAAGATTCACTTTGTTATTGTACTTACAAAAGTAGACAGGGTTTCTGACTGGATTCAGTGTGAGTACTCCAGAGTTTTGGGGTTGTGGTCTCAAACTGAGCTCCAACACTTGAAATGCTTCTGAAAACGTTGTCTGTGAAGTACAAATCCCACCTCTCCTTTTTGACATCATGTGTCTGTCAAACTTTGTGCAGGAGTAGTCTGTCATAAAACTCCACCAGGCAGACGCTCAACATATAGAAAGATTCAATGATTTATGATCCTCTTAATTTTGATTCTTCAGAGTGCTTTAAATGCCATGATTAAATGCACTTGATACTACACATTTCACTTTATAAGAGCAGGCTTGAAAGTACAGCGTGTCGGACCCCTGGTCTACTTTTAAAGTCTTTAGATGGCACAAAGACCATGAATGTGATTCTTACCAAAGAGTCACTGAGTCATCTTAATTAAACTAATGCTGATATTCTGATATCCAATAGAGAAATGGTGATATTAAAGTTCATAGTTGAGGTCCTTGATGTTTGTTGCAACATTTCATGAAACAATGGAGATAGGAAGAAGCAGCAGCAGACTGCATGTGAACTAGCTTGAAGCAGCTGTCAAAGAGATGAAAACTGATTTATAATGACTTTTTTAAATGCAGATGCAATGTTAGAGCTTGTACTTCTCAGGGTTACTAATTAATCAAACTTTTCTTCACCCTGATAGTTCCTTCAACTGTTTTTTATTTGGTTCTGTAACAGACGATCTGCCAGAGGAAGTTTATACTTCAAAATAAAAGCATAGGTTTATAGTGCGGAAAATAAAGCAACCTAAGAACAAAACTGAAAATATCAAATCCATCATATCACAGGATTACTCACAGAATTACTCACATACAATCTCCTTTTGTTTTCAGCCCATTGGAGGAATTTAGATTGCACTATCCAACCAAAGCTACAACATAAAGAGTAAACCATCTGGGTAAAACATATCTATATAACTTTGTTTTGCAGTATAAATGCAAATGATGTCAAAGTTTCTTGACAAACAAGACCAGGTAATAAAAAGGCCAGTAGTAAATTATGCAAAAATGGTTCCATAAAGATGATAAAGCCCAATAGGAGACAAACTTTTGCTTGAAGAGTGAGAGTAAACTGCGAAACTGTTACAACAAAGACCATAGAGAAGGATTAGGAAGGAATGGACATTTAAACAATTGCATTGCATGAAATGTGTGCAATATAATACATAGAGTGGTTTAGTTTATTAGATCAGAGCTTGTATTTGCAGTACTGCCTGCAGCGGTTGCAACGTGTATTTGAGAGAAAGGTTAGATGAAGTGATAGAGCCTGAGGTTTTATACATTGTTCCTGTCTCTGAGGTTTCTCAAGTTTGTTCTCTATGAAGCTGAGGTGAAGGCAAGCAGACCCGAGGTAAAGCCGATGGAAGATACAGGAGGAAGCTGAAGTACTGCTCTCACCATCCTGTGATGTGTGGATGAATCACTGACAGTTTGAAGAAAGTCCCATCTACGTTATCCTCAAACACCATCACCTCCAAAAGATTAAATAAATGCAAAGAATATAAACAGAAAAGCACGGTTTGAAATTCTGAGAATCGTAGAAATGTGGCTTCGCTAAGTCTGCGACTGCAAAGGAAAGTGCCACAGCTTCACTGTGGCAAACAAAACCAACTCAGTATGCAAATCAAATAAATTCTTCTTCATTTTAGCCGTTTTCTTGCTAAAATTACACAGGCGTGATGACCCTTTAAAAGTAAAATTGCCCAATATTTTCCAGTCAGTTTGCATTTGAACAAAATGTGTAAAACCCCACAGTAAAACAGCAGCTCAGTAACCTCTTACAGAAGTGTGTTGACCTCTGTATCTCTCAGTGCAATTACACTTGGCTGCTGTAATTGAAATGGATGGCTGCTGGATCGGCAAAAGGTCACTAATTGTCACCAGTCAAATGCGGTTATAATACGGCTCACTTAGGTCACAATAAGAGCGTTGTGCAGGGATGTCACCTGCAGGTCCGGAGCCTGCTGCACTTCAGGCCTACATTTCATGCTCCATTAATTTTGTGCTCGGAGTTAAACATCTTGATACATCTTCTCCAGGCGCTGGAAAGAGGAAAAGACAGTCGTATGTTGAACGCTTGCTGGGTGTCCTGAGGGTCTTTCAGTGTTAAATGCTGCAGGAGGACGTGGAAAGAAGGAGGGGATCACTTCTGCTTATGCATAACCTTTTGCATTCTCACTTAGTAGCAACGCACCGACACACAAAAAAAACCTGTAAACATTAAAACTGATTAATAGTTTATATAAATTACTTCTCCTTTCAAGTAACCTTAAAAAAATATTCATATTTTAAGTTTATGCAAATTGAACTTGCTCAAAGTAACAGAAAGGGCTTCAAACTGCAGTTGTAGCACTTCTTTTCTCACTTGTAAACACACCCAGTCAAAAGAAGAAGTTTAAAAATATTGCAACTAGCTCTTTAGTTTTCTATTTATATATCACACGATCATTATTCAAATAAGGCACATGGTAGTATGTGCTGTGTTTTCTGGGTTGACGACTGTGTGACATGAAAGGTCTTAGGAAATCGAAAGTGACGACCCAGCATGGAACACGCATGGAAGTCACTTCTCAGAAATGTGACCTTTTTCTGGTTGTTAAGTCAGGGGAGAGCTGGAGAAGGGGGGAGGAGGATGAGAGGAAGGAGGAGGAGGGGGTACAAACTGATTTGAAGAGAATTATACAATAGTCAATGGTGCAACGGCAGCCCCATAAAAGAACACCCCAGAAGGCATATCGTTTTAAAGGCACCCTCATGGTGGAAGGGGGACCAGTGGTGTGTTGGTGAGGCAAACTGGGAATGACTTCTGGTGTCCGCAGCGTGTGTGGAGTAGCCAGCGTGGTTCCACAAACGGTGCCTGGCTGAATTTGGGATGTTTTTTGCTGCCAGAATGAATTTTGTATGAAACTTCTCCCACATAGTTTGAATTTAAGTCTGGTGTATCAAACCAATGTCACTTTGCTGCTGAGGACCCATGAGGCCCCAGTGCAGGATCCAGAGGAGAGAGACTCTCTAGTGGAAACTGAGACAAACGCTTTTCTGTGATGGTTATTTCTACACATTTACATAGCCATGAAAAAAACAGTGTGTGTGTGTGTGTGTGAACAGTCTCAGTTTCAGTCCTAGTGGAAAAACCCTTTCACACAAATATCCGCAGTACCTGTAAATTATTCTATTACCGGCTAAATACACCTGGTTAGACATACTGTAAATGTTTTTTTTTACTGCTGTATCTACTTATTTTGAAAGTAGCTGCTCTGTTGCCTAAAACTTCGAATGATGCAACATCCATGATTTCCAAAAAGAACTGCAAACTTTGATTTGTCAGTTTTCCTCTTATTTTTCATTTATTGTGTTGCTCTTGTCAAGCATTTTGTCCTTGTATAATTTTTTATGTACATGCAGGATTATTATATCTGTGCATGTACATTGAAATAACTTAAAACAAGAGTCAGATTCTCTGTATACGTATGTACAAACATGATAAAATAAAGGTAATTTGTTGTCTGTTACATGTGCAGTGACAGGACATGCATACATATACCGGCTATACAAAACATGACCACTAGAGGGCATGCAATCATTACAAATCGTGGGCGGCAAATCGCAACGCTGTTTATATAGTTAATTGATATTTTAGCGGGAAAGAGAGGATGTTCAATTTTTCTAATAAGTTTCATATTTTTGTAACATTTGAAACTTTCAGCATAAAAAAATCAGAGCAGCAGTATTTGAATTGCGTGCCTGTGTGGACATGTGCAATTGTACATGTGTGAGTGTGTGTGTACATAAGTAGTCTGCTGGACATACCGCAGGGGACTCCTGTGTTGTGAGGGGGGCCTCATGTGGCTCGTGTCTGTTCTCATCATCACTACCCCCCTCACCTCACCCCTCCTCTTTACGCATCAGCCGCCCCCTGCCCTGCTCAGGCCCTGTGCCCTGCTCTACTACACTCGCGTGAAGGCTCTCCGTTCACACTTTGCCTCACACTTGTCACCCTTTCACCCAGTAACTATTTGTTGTTTTTTGGCTGACACTTTTAAACCCCCACCTTCTCAGAGACAAGTATACCATACAGCAGTCCACAGGCCTTATTCTGACTTATTGTGGTGTCTTTTTGCGTACTGTCAGAAGTGTCTGTGGAGCCGTATCTGAGCCTTTCTTAATCCAATATGTCACAGTGTTGACACTAGTGTATCTGGTTGTGAAAAACACACCAGCTCATTGCCTGGTGTCCCTTTTGAACTGCTTGTGACTTCACACCCACGTCCATGCTGTGATTTCCACCTTTCTCCCACATTTAGCGAAAGGCTCATGGCACGTAAACACATCAGTCTAATGGGCTCATCACAGACTCACAACTCACAAGAGCGCACCGAGACAAAGAGCTTTGATTAGCCTGTGGATGTGGAGGGAGTCAGTGTTGGTTCTGACTGTTTCCATTTAAAAAGATTGGGGTATTTTCAAAGTCTTTAGTCTTGTTTCCACAAATAACCTCACCTTATTTATAACGCTGTTTAATAGATAACTATGCTTTTTCTTCTTGAAATGATAATCAACGTCTTTAAAATAACTACAGTTTCTGTGAGGAACTTTTGCTTGTGTTGACTTTGGCGCCCCCTGTTGACAAAGCAGGACCTCCATCTCTAAGCTGATTTGGTCGAGTAGATTCTCCAAAGTTATCCATTTGTGTATATTTCTGGGCTTTTTAGGGTCCTGTATTTAGATAATAGAATAGTGTATAAAGCATAGTACAGAATGGACAAGAAAGTAAATAATCCCCACTCAATTTTTCCCAAATCACTCGCTGACCTGTCTGAGCTCACCT